GTAAACATATTCTTGTGAATAATTGCTTATGGCTGCTAGAAAAGTTGAGCCAGCTAGTTTTTAATTTTTCAGTTTGGTTAAATTGGATCACCAAGGCAAATCACTGAGTTTGTCCCAGAGTGGATTATAGAGGCTCTTGAAATAATAGTTAGAAGTGCTGGAAGATAAGCAGCAGAGCTGAGGTCTTGTCTTGGATATTTCTATAACACTTAAGAATTCATATCATGTTAGTTCCAGCAGAAGTATTTATATTTAACCTGACATATGCACAACAGACTTAAAGGATTCTTTTTTAACTTCTACAGCTCTGACTTGTAGAGGTAATTTAAGGTTATAAGAGTACTGCTTCTTAAACTTTTATTTTTGGAACCTCTTAATCTATTTGTAACGAGAGAACAAGGTCATATAGTCCCTACAAGCTTTATCCTTATTTCCTGCAAATCTCATTACCGCTCTGGAGCACGAGCTTAGTCCTCGACATCCTCGTAGGACTGAGAGGTGCCAATTATTGCGATGGGGCGACGGTGACATGTCGTTTAAGGACTATCTCTTTGCCAGATGCTGAGCTAGAACAGGTTTCAAGCTCGGTGGCAGCATGCCACAGTCAGTGCAGTGTTAGTAAAAAAAAAAAAAAAAAAAGGCCCTTTAAATAAGGGAAAATGTCCTTTCATCTGGTCACCTGTGTTGTACAGGAGCAATAACGTACCCAGCAGTTGGTGAAGCTGGCTTTTCCTTTTTGCTGCTCGACTCCAAGAGGAAGAGGAGCTGACGATCTCAGCAGAGCCATGGGGCTGCACCGCCCTGCGGGGTCAGCGCTCTGATGAGGAAGGGGCTCTCGGTGGGGTGAATTCCAGAGGGGGTGCTGCCTGCATTGCCCTCTGCTATGTTCTCGGACACTCCTAAAGGTAGCCAGGCAGCCCAGATCCATAGGCAGGCACCAGGGCCGGCAGGCTAGGTGAAGTGGGTGCGTGTGGGTGAGCAACAGACAAAGGGAAGCGGGGAGGAAAGTAAGGAAAGCCTAGAAACCGGTTTACAAAAGAGCTTGTAATGTGGAGAAGGAAATGTGGAGTTTCATATTGAGAAACCTAATCCTCATCGAGACATTTTTCTGGAAGTTAGTAATTTAATAACAGAACATAATAATAATTTATAATACAATAATTCACTTGTTTTCTCCCAGAATAAGATGCGATGAAAAGTAATGCAGTGTGTCATCACCTAAATGTTAGTATTATCACTTCCATTTGATAATTTGAGGAATAAAACAAAGCAATGCTGCTGCGTGGGTTTTTTCAGGGGTATGTTACGTTGTCAGAGGACATTCCTATAAAGCAACCTAGATCAATAGACACACAATATAATTAGCCTGCGTTTGATTATTTTCATTTATTTATTTAATAGTAAGTGGTAGATTGGGAGCAGTTCCTGATTCAGATCTGCTCTGGGTCATCAACTGCTCAGTATTTTGCCATATTATTGAGAGGAAAAAATAATACGTGAATCATGGAAACCTAGAAATTTCAAATAATGTGCAAGATAAGATATGGAAGGAATATAAAGCTAATGTATTTTGATGGTAGAGGAGTAAAAATAACTTGGTGCACAGTATCTTGTGAAAATCAGCTTTGTGGTGTGGGGGAGGGTTAGGCTTGTGTATCCTTGTGTGCAAACAAGGATATCTTGACTTCAGGGATTGATTCTGGGCCGAGCAGCCAATTGTAAAAGACATGAGGAAAATAGGACACACGGTGAAACGTTTGCAGCAAGGGAGAGCTGCAGGATTTCTGCTGAGGGGACGTTTCCAGAAGGCTTGGGGGTCCGGGCCACCCCTAGCAAATAAGAACAGAAGAGCCGTGTAGGTTAAATGTTACCAAGCACTTAAAGCACCAAACCAAGTTACAAAACCATTTTCAGTAGCGAGCCCAGCCATGGACCACGGAAGGAGGCTCGAGCGTGCCGCTGGAGCCTCTTCGGACTCGCCTGTGTCGTTGTGGCCATCCCGGCGTAGCCAGTAGCCCCGGTGACTTGCTGGGTGGCAGAGTGCGTGCCCCGGGGGGGGGCTCTGCCCGGGGGGGCCTGGCCCCCCTCCCGCCCATGCCAGGGCTGTGCTGCTGGCTCTGTGCTGTCCCCTGGGCCGCTGCTCTGCCGGCGAGTTCCTTGGAAATGATCTGGGAGTAAGTTCTGCACAAATACGGGGCCCTGCAGGGGTGTTGCTGGAGGATTGGAAATGCAGCTTTCCTAATCTGAGGAGCTAATTTTATACACATACATTTGTGTATAAAAATGTGTGTATATATATAAATTATCTATATTAAATTATAACTGCTTCTTAATGATGTGTAATTATAATTAATACCCACCATAATTAATGTATACTAATTACATATAAAAATGCCTTAGATGCCGACTTTTTTTTTTTAATTTTTTTTTTTTTTTTTTTTTTTTTTTCAATGTAACTTCTTTCTGTTGTGAACTGGCAGCTAATATCCTGGAAACAACCCACTACTGGGTTCTTGGCATTTGCATGAAATCGTTAATCACGCCTCCCGGTTGTTTCAGCGGCGCTGGGCTGAACGTTGCCCTGCAGCGTACCAGGGAGCTGCTCCTGCTCCGCCAGGAATGGCAGGAGGCTGCCCCAGATAAATGAATAGCTCCTTTTTCCTTTCTGTCCAGCAGGACAATCTAGTCAAACTTTGAACAAAATTCTACTTTATGTCAAGTCCTCCCAGCTGCTTGCTGCTTCAGTTATTCAAGGAGTGACGTATTCAAGTTGCCTGGCTGTTCACTTTTAACTTGCTAGCTTCCAAAAAGCTGGGTGGGTGTCCAGTTGCGTTCTCACCAAGATCCTGACATTTACTTTGCTGTACAAATTAAAAATAGCAGCCGCTGTGATTTCAGCGTATCAGATGGTTGCAGCAGAGCAGAGAGCCTGTGGGCTGCCCTCCCGAGGCCACTCGCCAGTGGCAACTTGAATTTTTAAGTACTCGCATGTCTCGGGAGCACAAAAAATAATTAAAAAAAAAAACCCCTGGTTTGTGGATGTATGAGATGAGGAGGAAGGGTAGGAAAGGGAAGGCGGCTTGTTTTTTTGAAATGTGATTCTTTTTCACTTACATTAAAGCAGCATTTAAAAAAAAAAAGTTTACTCAGCCGGTTACCATTGTTTTACCTGCATCCCAGTTCACAAATGAGCACAACACTGACACAAGGTAATGTACAAAGAGTTCTTTGTGTCGGCTTTGAGGTCACAGTGTGACTCTGGTTTTAGTACACTTTTTCACGGGATTACATGTACTTTAGCTCTCAGAGGTTTCCCTTCAAGCAATTCAAAAGCAAATGGTTAAAGGAATGTGTATAGAGTGGCAGTGACTCTTAGGTCTGGAGAGGAGTTTTACCTACCGTTCTTCAATGGAAGCAAATCAAATAAAAGATCACAGACAAAAAGCTACATTCCTAATGGTTGAATGTAATGCTCCTTAGTACTGCAAAAATTCCTGTAGACGTTCTGCAGTAGAACATCTACAGGAGTAGATGAAATGTAGAAATGTAGAGCAAATAGTTCCTGGGAGTGGAATTCTGTCCAAGAAAAGTTCTGCCACAGAAAAGAGTGGGGTATTAAACCGCTCTTGTGATTTAATTGGAGAAATTAAAGTGGTTATAAAAGCACTGTGTAATTGGGGCATCTTAAACTTATTTGTGGCACTGGGAGGTTTTATTAAAATAATTTCAGACAAACGAACTTTACTTTTTCTGATTCCGTCACCTTCCTGTGAACCATTGGTCTGTGCTGTGTGTGTCTGGGATCATTGGCAGAAACCAGCTAAGGTAGAGAAACCTGAAATGCAGCTTTCTAGAATCAGTGAAGTAAAGAAACACATACAAAGGTGCTTGTGTTACCAGTTCTTTCTTTCAGTAAATAATGTGAATAACATAGGTCTTGTCAGCAAAGTGCTAGTGAACCATCAAGGAGTCCTTCCCAGGGCTGGAGCCATCAATTCCAGCTTAAAGTTTCTGTCAACATCTAAGCCCAAAATGTGAATTCCTTCAACATCTGTGTAATTCTTGTCCCTTGCTGGGCCAGCTGAACTCTTACAAAGTAAACCAATATTCTTCTTCCCTCAAGTATGCCCAGAACTATTTGTTTATAGAACTGGGGTGCTTGTTACTCAGCCTGCACCTTGGTAATGAAAAGGCTTACCCTGCCGAAGAGGCTGTGGTGTGCTCCACTGTTCTTAATTTTGGATTTAATTGTTTAGTGCAGTGACCTGACCAGCAGTGTAGGACACGTAGGTCTAATTTCAACCCCTGTCTTGCAGATAAATTAAGTAGGAAGAGATGTTGTCTGAGGGATCGGCCATTCACTTCCTTTAGGACTTTATGAAAAGTGGGATTTCCTTGGCTCAGAATAATAAAAAAACAAAACAAAACAAACTAAAAACTCTAACTTAGCAGGTAGGTCACAGGCTAGAAGTGGTATCTGGCCTTTAGTACCCCTGCACAGCTGACGCTCAGAAATTAGCATCTCCAGTTTGTGACTGGACCCAGCCTGAAGGCTACTGGTTGATTTGGGGCTTTTTTGTTACCTGGCTGGGTATTGTGTGGACTGGGAGGCATGTGGCCCCCACAGACGGGAAGGAGGTGGTGGTTATACTGAACCGTTGAAATATTAGTAAGACTTTTGTTGTTTAAGCCAGCAGTCAAATACTGCCTAGATTATCCTTCCTTGGGAAGGAAGAATGAATTGCCCAAAACCATCAGAGAGAAAGCAGCTACTTTGGTAGGTGTGAAAGAAGTGTTTGTGTAGGGGGATCAGCCTGGGCTGAAAGAGAAGTGCTGCATGACCACAGGACAGACATCTTTGCCGCAGGGTTTAATTTCCTTCAACTTGGGGTTCACAGGCTCAGCATGCCTCCATATACTCAGCTGCACAGGACACGCTCTTCAATTTTGTGGAACGATAACGTCCACAGATTCCTGAACTTTGGTTTCTTCTCTCCAAGATTATTACAGTCCTGCAATGCTGGGCCTGAAAACTGATCAGGAAGTCCTTGGAGAACTTGTGAGAATGAAAGTTCCAGCTGTGGCAGAGCTGATGGAGAGACATGGAGTGATGTGGACCCTCGTGGTGTCACGCTGGTTTATATGCTTGTTCATTGACATTCTTCCAGTAGAGGTAACTGGTGACATAAAGTTCTCTTAATATACGAGCATAATTGTTATTTTATTTGTCCTGCCTTAGTAATAATTACCTTCTGGAACTCGAGCAGCTCTAACCTGCATTCTCTCCTTTCCTGCAGACTGTGCTCCGAATATGGGATTGTTTATTCTATGAAGGGTCAAAGATCATCTTCCGTGTGGCCTTAACATTAATTAAGCAACACCAAGCTTTTATTTTGGAAGCCACAAATTTCCCTGACATCTGTGACAAATTTAAGCAGATCACCACAGGAACGTTTGTAACAGAGTGTCACAGCTTCATGCAGGTAACTTCTGTACAGCTTTTCGTTGTTACAAATTAAAAACAAGACTGACTTAGAAATGTTTTGCTTGGTCAGAAAGATGGATACAGCTAGGAGAAATGTATCTCTCAGAATTGCCAAAAGGATGAAGAATGTTTTCACATAAACTCAAACCTTTCTAATTTTTTTTTTAAATAATTATTATCAAAATCCATATATAGCAATCCATTCACAGTATCTATTGTACAGGGAAAAAAAATCTTTTTGCCCATTTTACCAGTTAAGGCAGGAAGTCTGACAAGAAAATAACTTGAGTGCATTCTCTCAGTGAAGTATGGATTGTGTTCCTGTGCTTTTTATCAGATAAATTGTAACAGAGTATTGTAGAATAGACACAAAGTGAATTTTAAACTTGCACTGATAAATCTTCATTCTGTTTCGAACAGAAAGGTAGCACCAAGTGCTTATTTCCAGACAAAAACCCATGAAGTTGAGTCCTCAAGTCTTACGACGATCTGCAAACTAATAATTATTCTTATAAATTATTAATAGTTTGGATGGCAAATCCGTATAGAACATTAGATTCAGACCTTATCTCAGAAGATGGAAATGTAAAAGATGTTATCTGCAAAAAAGTAACAGGAACACATCTGCCATAAATCACCTGGCCACCTCCACTGTCCCTGTTTGCTAAGTGTGCATAAAACTACATCCCAGTAGGTGACTTAACCCCCAAAAGAGTTCCATGCTCCTGTCAGCTCTGTGCATAGGTGTGGCAGAGCAGGAGGTCATGTTACATTTCATTTTTACTGACATGGAAAAAATATATATTGCAGGTACAGCTTTAATTTAGAAGGTAGATGTTTGAGGGGTTTCCCCATTCCATAAAGGGTTTAGAACGAGTTTTGTTAAATGTTAACTGCCATGAGAATACCAATTCAGAGGCCAATACAAACACTCATCCTTGGAGGATTTTTTTTTTCACCTCCTTCCCCTCTCTTTAATTACATTACATTTTACAGCAGCTGTTTTTAGAAAATCAACTACCTCCTTCTTACAGTAAAAAGTTGATTTTCACTGCTGTGAAAAAAAGTTTATTTTAAATGCACTGGTTACTGTAGTGAGGGGGCTTTGAAAGCAATTAAACAATTTAGGTTAGGCTTTTATGTAACTATGAAACACATACTTTTGGGTTTGGATTTGTTTGGGGTTTTTTTTCAGCAGTACAGGTACCAACAGAGGAGATGACTGTTGGATATTATATGCCTCCCTGAGCCTGAACAAAAACTTAGTTTTTAGTTTAATGCGATGCAGACTTCTTTACTAGACTGCTGTTCAGAACTGGCTCGTTTATTATCTTGTCTCCAGAGTTGTCAGTTATAACTACAGAGAAGTGAGGGGCCCACACATAATAACTGTAGGTTAAAATGCATAGACTTGCAGCTTCCTTCATAGTTTTGTTCAGTCAGAAGTTTTAGATGTAGTAGTAGAAACAAATGTATTGTTCTTGAGCAACAAGTCAAAGCAAAAAAAAAAAAAAAAATTACAGAAGCGTGGCAGCATTTGAAGGGCCTCAAATTCTTACATCCATATACATTACTACCCTGGAAAGCCTGGTAGAGAAGAGCAAAGGTAGTACAGCAAGGGTTTAAGACTGACTTTGTTGCAGCAGGAACAGACTGTTCTACGTGACTATGTGTTTCAGAGCTTGAACCACCTGAAAAATGTACTTGTGCTTTGCAGCATTAGCCAGGATGGCTTAATATGTTCTAAATCTGCCTTCCATCTACCACATGTGCCTTCTAAAATAATTTTAACTGGACACTTCTATTCAAACTAGCTTCTGTATTGTTGCTTTTGTGCAACTTACAGCACCTGCTCTGAGCTGCAGGTTTACTGTGTCTTTACAGCAGAGTAAGATGCTACCCTGGTACAAGGAGGCCAAGCAGCAGTAAGCATTTCACACTATGGGTATCAAAGCAGGGGAGTTCACACTTCAGAGAATTATGTAAGAATTCCAGCATGTTGTCCAAGGCCAGAATTTTAATGAGGAACGTTCTCCTTTTGCCCCCAGAAAATATTCACAGACCCTGGAAGCTTATCCATGGCAACAATCAACAAACTCCGAGAGACTTGCAGAGAGAAGTTGCTTTCTCAGGGATAACTCACCAGATTTAACCCAGTGGTCAGATCCTACAGCAATTGTCACATTCCTCTATTTGCACTGACTAAAGCACACTTTAAGCTTTCCATGAGTTAACTGACACTTGACCAATTTTTCCTGCCTTTCAAGTAAGTGTTGTTAACACTTTGTACTGTATGTCAGGCTTGATAACTGGAACAGGTGGTTCTGTTGTTTTGGGGGGGGTTGTTGGTGGTTTTTTTGTTTGTTTTTTGTTTGTTTGTTTGGGTTTTTTTATTATTGAGGATTACAGTGTTTTCAGATTAGAATGTGATCAGTATCAGGACACTCCTTTTAAAAAAGCAGTCACCATCCTTGTCTTTTCAGGGCATTTTGTAATGTTAAAAAAGCAGGTGTATAAAATTGCATATCCTTCCTACTGTATTAACTGTGACATCACTATCATTTGTACAAAATAAATTAATTTAATTTGTCAGAACCAGTTTCCTGGTACGAAGAAAGTAAAATATCTGATCTCTTTCCTGACTGCCCATAGTTGGCTAGAATATAAGCATCTTCCTTCTTCCTCGCTGCTGTTACTTAAGGAACTTAATAAACATGGTAAAGTACAAGGCAAGACTGCAAATGAGGAAGGCAATCTTTATCTTCACTATCAGGCTCTGTGCAGTGTGTAACAGCTCTTCAGGTAAAGGCACCAGAGACCACCTGCAAGTCCAGGCTACAGAAAGCAACAGCAAAAATTCCTCTATAACCACACTTAATAGTTTCCAGCTTATTCAGGGTTGATCTAGTTCTAGGACAGTAGGTAACAACTAAATTGACTCAAATCTGGGAGTAGCATTTCTCACACTCTTGTAAGAGATGCTGAAAGTGGATGCTGTACACTTTTACTTTGGGCTGGGGTACTGAGGTTGCACAACCGGTGCTAAATCCTCATCTACCTGCATCCCCCAAAATTTGCGAGAAACACTTGTCAAGACAGCCACGAACAGACTTCTTCCTTGGCAGGGTGAGACATCAGGCACTTTCAAAGCTAACTACCCTACCTCTCCGGCAGAACCAAGGCAGGAGCCCTGTCCCTGCACCATCAGCTGCCTCCGACTCACCTCCTCGTCCCCGCAGAGCCCTCTCGTGGCCAAATCCTCTCCCTCCTTCCTGCCGCGGGACAGAGGGAAGGCAACCGAAGGGACACCCCCAGCAATTTGTGGGGTTTATTCTTCCTGCTGAAAGCTTCACCTTTTAACACCACGCTCCTTTCAGACTCTAAGCTATCTTCATTCCTTGTCAAGGAAGGCTTTCTTCCTCTTCCACCCACAGGTTGAGTTTCTTTCATTCCTCAGCAGGGAAAAAAAACCCCAACGTCTCAGAGTGCTCTTCTACTCAACAGTACAATTCCAAACTATCCTATCCTTTATGGTACCAGACACCTTCCTTCAGCACTGAGTTATAAGGACATTAGCAGTGCCATACTTCTAGTGTGTCAGCAGGTATTTAAAAATACTGGGTTATTCACCGCTGCCAAAATCCAGAGTTTCCTAGTACCTTCAAGGGAGCAGGGCAGATGGTCCAAAGTCTCTCTGGCCAGCAGCCTTACTGCCACGTGTTTGGTTCCCCCTTGTCAGCAGCACAGTGTTGTGTGCAGTGTTGCAGTGTGCCTTGGTTCCTGCCCTGTGCAGCTGGGGCTGGTAACGCCGAAACATGACTGCAGGGACACTTTAAACACAAAAGTTCATCTCCAGCACATTACGACCAACACAGAGCTCAGCAGACCTGCGTTTCCCCCCCCCCCCCCCCCATGGTAAGAATCCAACTTTAAAACATAAAATGTCATTTCCACAGTCCTCATACCGAGTATCTTAGCAGCACTTTCAGAGCACGGTGCTTAGCAGGGCAGACCAAAACAATATACTGACATTTCTCAGCAAGCAGCAATTTAATGGAAGAGTTAACTTCTCCAGACCTCAGGTTACTGATACACAGAAGCTCTACCTGTTTCCAAGCACAAAGTCCAAACCAAGGGGCTGTTCTGAAGATGCACACGCAGTTGAGCCTCACCTTCGTGCCACAGAGGAGAAACTTGAAACACTTACTTAACCTAACTTCACACGAAGGCGTGTTTAAAGCTTCCCAAGAAGAGCCAAACCGTGGCTTTAGCACTTACCAAATGGTCAAACGTTTTTAAGAGTGATCAGCAACACTAAGATATACAGAAAAAAAAGTGTCTTTATTAGCATTGTTACAGGCAATGCATACATAAGAACTGATCCTTAAAGTGTACAACCCCCAGCCAAGTTTAAAGCAAGAGAATCAGCAGATTGAGATCTATATTGTACACGTGTGCAGTAACAGGATCTCTCTGGACCTTCCAACAGAATAGACTGAAATCACTTTACAAAAAAAAAAAAACGTAAATAAAAATAACACCCATTTTAAAAAAGTACCAGCTCCTAACAAGCTGGCATAGCATCAAAAATATCAAACAGGGGAGTTGTCCAATCATAAAGAGTTCCTGTAAGGTTTGAGTATTGCGTCGTTCACATCCTGCATATGCCAGGCATTGAGTTTAAAGCTTAGTAAAAAATACACACCTAAGAGACAAGGTGGAGTTTAGATTTTCAATTTCAATTTTGTCAGTTGTTACTAAATTTTTTTTAATGCATCATCAGTATAATTATCATCATTGTTGGATGGCAGCAGTACAAAGAATGAACCTTTTCCCTTTGTTAAGAGTTCTGAAATTGAGTCAGTGTGAATTAGCAACATCCCTCTCTGGAATCCTTAGCTGACATCTTATGCCAATTCCAAAAAAGCACCCTTGAAAACTTTTTGCTTGTTTCTAAGTGGGTAAATATTTAAACTAGTTAGCAAAATTAAACACCAGAATTTTCAGAAGTTATTTTTGTGCATAGTTAAATGCTGCAAGATGATTTCACATTTAATAAAGCAGACTTTAAAGAAGAAGCAATTTGCAAGAAAAGGTGTTCCCTTACAATATCAATCTTAGCTCAGGGGAAATGTGTAGGTTTTTTTTTTTTCCCAGCCTCTTGCAATTGCTTTTCATCTACACTGGATTTTAGTGCAAGTCATTAAATTGTTTGATATCCAGCATGGCTCCTCTTTCTGCCGATCAAGTAAGCAATCAAGACAATCAGAACAAGACCAGCAAGGGCTGCACCAACTATTATAGGGATCAGCATGTTATTTTCATCCAGTTGACATTCTTCCACTGAAGAGAGAGAAAGAGATCCATGTTAGGCACCGATACACTGACAGACAGCCACACCCAGAACCTCAAGCTTCAGCTCTCAGCACGTAGATAAAGCTGGCTCCAGTTCACTTCTAGCTTAGCTTGCCAACAACCAAAAGGACGCCAAGTCCACTACCTACGATCGTTCAGGATGAAGTCTTTCTAGTTCTAGTTGTATGCACAGAGATTTATAATAATTGTTGCCTTCTCAAGAGCTGTTCCTGTTACGCACAAGTTTAGCCATCAAACACACCCGTGCGAGTCCTCCCAGAGCTATTTTGCTTTAACCACAGTCGCAAAGGACAGTGTGAACTAAAAGAGTGAGGAACTTCCCAGAACCCTGCCCCTCTCATACAACTGTCTGTGCACAGTTAGGGGGGAAAGCTAACGCTCTTCCTCAACTCTTCTCTGCACAAGGAACAAGTCCTTGTTATTTCACAGCTTTTTACATACGACTTGCACTAGCCTCAACTCAGACGTCTCATCAGCCCCCACATCATCTGCAGTTGGGCACGCAGAGACTAAGCATAGCACCCACAAGCTGACATTTGACTACAGAATGTTTATATCAAAGTGTACTGCGCAAATCTTAGGTTCCCCCCGCAAAATGCAAACCTCTTACCTGCCCCAAATTTGTCTCCATCGATCTTGAAAACTTGAATCTGAACATTAAATACATTGACAAGTGCTTGGTCCGTGACCTGGAGATTCTCCTCTGCACTGCACTTGTAGGAGTTCCCTACTGTAGCTCTCAGCTCACTCATGCTGTTGTTTGAGGCTTCAAACTTCGGAACTGTGTAAGAGAAAGTCTTATTACAGAATCCTGAAGAGCAGGAGCTGTAAGCTCACAGAGCTTAAATTCGATACGTGCATCCCCCAAAATCTCTGATGTTATTTAATGCAAGCAACCCTTAATATTTATACAAGTAGTCACTGAAAGTAGGCTTAAAAGCCCTTACCTCTTGCTTCAGAAGGCAGAGTCGTGCTTACACTCAAACCTTGCAGGAAGAATTTTTCAGTAGTTGCATTCTTTAAAAAAAAAAAAAAAAAACACAAAACCAAAAACAAACACAAACCAGTAGTTGTCATTTAATCTAATGATGTACAGCATAAACTGTTAACATTTGGGTTCAATTCTGCTTGCACCCTGAGAAAGGTTTTCAAAGGATAGTCCACAATTGGGATTAGCATCCAAAGGAAGAGCTTAATTGTGCTTTAAGAGAGAAAAGCAATGGAAGGTTTGCACCTTTGAGAAGATTACTCTGGGGGAAGAAGGAAGGGGGGAGTGTCACCCCTCAGCCTGCCAACCTGAATTCCACACTACAGGCACAGTCCCAACCCATGCCCTAACCAGGCTAATGCAGTGATCCCACCTGTGCTACAGATACAGCTTTAAAGCAGCTGGGTACCCGCCCCGAGATGTGGGGAGTCATTTAATAGCAACAGGTCAAGGTGATGGCAGCTGATCAATCCCACAAGCATGAAAAGGAGCATGACGCTCTGACACACCCAGTGGATTCTGTCCTCAAGGGTACGCGGCTCTAACACAGCACTGGGGCAGGGCTGTGGGAAACAGGATTCCCAACCATCATCGGAGACCATAAAACAAGCCCACGTGGCCCTTGGGCTGTACACAGAATATTAATGAGGATTTAAATCCAGTTCTGGACTTGTACGATCCGATGAGATGCCTACTTGTCATAGGCTGGTCCCAGTCTGGGCAAGAAGCTTTAGAGAATAGGCCAGGCAATATTAAAAGAAATTTCCATTCCAAACAAAATACCTGTGTGTGTGTGTGTGTATTCCCACATGAAAAGCCCTGCAGACCCTACACAGTTTGTCGAGAGTTTCTTACCAATGCGAAGTGGAAGATAACCCTTGTTTTCTCGAAAGTCAGATTCAAGAAGGCAGAGGTATTGTCGCATCTCCCAGAAAAAGTGGTGTTACGTGGTATGAAATTCAGCAAATCCAAACCCATCTGTGAGAGAGGAGGATCAATTATGGCATTTGAAGAGACTAACACATCAGCATACATTCAACTTCTAGCTTGCCCGTACCCACACGCATGCAGTGCTGTATTTGCCCACACATTACAGACAACTGGGCAGGTAGACGTGTAAGTTACAGGCTGGTGTAAGCTGCACCTGAGTTACCAGGCTGGCACAGGGAACAAAGGGCACCTTTCCACGCCTAACAAAGCTCTCTGCAGCCCTGACTGGCTGCAGCCAATGACCCCCTGCTTTCTCCACACGAAACGTCTTTGGTCCTAGCAGCATAAGGAAAAACATCAATAACCACCACGACACAGGGGGCAGCAAGCCATAAAAATACTGCTTTGACCTAAAAGAGATGCCATCAAGGGAACCAACTGCCTGTAAGCATGATCATCTTGCAAGTCACTTCAGTTCAAAATGCTTTAGCTTCGACCACAGTACACGATCCTACACCGTCCTGTATCTGTAGAAGGATGTGGCTTAAATGCACTTACCAAACAATCAAACAGAAGCCTTTCAGCAGCTCTTAGTTGATCTTCTTGTGACTTTGGAATACCTACTTGCCACCTCCTCACTGGTCATCGTACTAGAAATCAGCTGTTCCAGCACAGTTAGAATGCCATGCTACAGAAGGCAGCTGAGGGAATTTCACACCATTAAGGTGGCTAAAACACAGTTGCCATCATCACCAACTTCCATACAGCCACACACCAGCCCTCAGTGCTCATGATTTTACCTCTCAGTCATCATCATCATAAATAAACGCAATAGATCCCCCTGCACCACAGCATTAAGCAGCTAAATCCTACACAGATACCACCTCTCCTCACACCAGGTCCTTTACTACTGAGATTTTAAACAACACAAAAGCCAACATAATTTGTTTGCCTGCACTTGTTCTCGTTACCTCAGACTAAGCCACAGGATAGGAAAAAGCAGCTTGTGATCGCAGGTCCTTGTAACGAAGCTTTCCTGAACATAAAAGGTTTCCTGACTGTTGATCACTTTGGGATTACTCCTCAAAGCTTTGCCTTACTGGTTAGCGACTAACAGGTTTGTCCACAGGGCTGGCAAGCTCGGCTGTGCATCAACAATGGAGGGAAAGAACCTGTGCAGGGGCTGGATCTTACATAAACCATGTGGCATTTCTGCTGTTAAAATCAGCCATTAAGTAGCTCTTCAGCATTAAAGTCAAACCCAAGCCTCTTCAGTGCTGGCTGGAAGGTAACTGAGTCACAAGCCTGTCCAATTTTACAATGGTAACAGTTTTCCCTTCTAATAGTCATTCACTGTTATCACTCAGGTGCTTCATGCCGAATCCCTGTATTTAACAGTTTAAAAATTGTGTTTAGATGGCATCTTTGATAATAGGATTCCCCCTACTCACATCTTGATAATTTTTACTGCTTCTGTGGAATGACCGTATACACTTACTGGATTTGACAGACAAGTTTAGTACTCTTCCTGAACAGAAAAACCTTTAATGGCCATTTTCAGTAGAAGAGAACTGTTTAAATCGTCACTAGTCTAGTCCAAGTTAAGCAATTCAAGCAGAAGACAATCATGGACGACCATCACAAAGAACTGGGATTTTTAAAGAAAAAAGCCTATAATGATTTACCAAATCTTCCCCCCAAAGAAGGAATCTGAAGGCTTTGAAAAAAGGAAGAAAAAAAAATGTACCTTTTCATCTTTTTTTACATAGGTGATGTTAAGCTGTAACCCCATGTAGGCAAGTACACAGGTTCCATTTGGACCAGTCACATTGTATTTCCCAACTGCAGGATTTGAGGGCGATGCAGTTGGTGCTGGGCTAGTTGTTGGAACCTGGCTAGTAGTCTGTTTAGGGGTCGTAGGCACTACAGCAGTAGTAGAGACCATATCTTCAGCGCATTCTGTCTCTGAAGAGAAAGGAAAACAGTCATTACCAAACAAAATGAAGCTGTGGGATGATCTACCTTTTTAATCCTCAAGGGAAAGGAGGGCACAATTTCAAATTGCTTTTCCTAATAGATGATAGTAAGAGCTGAGAAACACAGTGGTAAAGCATTACCTAAACTCTTGTTGCAAAGCCTGAGATACTTCTAAAGCCTAGCATGGGAGAACGACACCTCTGCTGTTACTTACACAAGTTCAGGGTGACCGCAGTCAGCTTTCATTTGCGTCTGCCGTTTCACTTTGCCATCACGTCAGGATAAATGCGCCACTGCTACGCTGGCAGAGCCAGCGTTCCTGCCGTGCCTTCACAGCAGGGCTGAGCTGACTACCCCTCAGACACTCGGGGGCTAGAAACAAAGCAGCAGTTCTCCTGCCCACTGTTAAAAGCAGTCTCTCAGGAGACGAGGCGTTCTCCTTCCCCTCCCTCAGCTACGCTACCAGGTCGTAAGGACCCCAAGTCACTATTTTGGCAATACCCGCAGGAAAATGAGAATACAGCTGGACCTCTCAAGCCCTCATAGCAGTGCTGTGGCTCTTCTAGCCTTGACAAAGAGATCCCGAGGCACTGCTGCTCATGCCAAAATTTCTGCTACGTCTTCTCACATCCATCCTCCCTTTAGTCCTGCATTAGTAGCCACCCACCACCAGTGCTACAAGGCTAACTGAAGACGTGCAAGACTGCCTTCTCTTTTCACCCCATTCAGCAGGGACTTCCAAGGCAAAGACAGAACAGTGACTCTGATTTATTTACCAGAGTACTCAGAAACACCTGGCAGCAAGATCTTAACTCAGTCTGGGAGCCAAGAGTCCTGCATTGAACATCTAAGCCAAAACCAAAGGTCACAGCAAAGACATTACTGTAGCACAGGCTTCCACGTTCCAGGCAGAGGTCACCTCCACATGTCAGGGATAGCAGCTTGCAACTTCATAAGGACGGTGGCAATTGCAGCAGCAGTCAATTCTGACTCAAAGGGCCTACTTCTAAAATTTAATCCATACGTATCATGCAGATACTAGATAGCTAATAAATAGCCTCTGAACTTAAACAGCAACTTAACTTTCAATTATGGCTCAAAACGAGGAATTCTAATCATACTTTCGGAAGTCAGACACTCCAACACAGCACAGTTTCCTATTTCTACTCCATTTCTGGGAAGTCAAAGAGCATAGGGAAGGTGGATGAATGGAGGAGTGACCCCATCTTTTGTAGGCTGATACCGATCAGGTCCCAAACCGTTATCAATCTCTAACAAATAAACCAAGCAGCAGCTTTACTTGGTACTTCAATATAGAATTTCCCTCCATCTGCAAGACCTCAACACATACGGCCTCTTATTCAAGCTGGCAGAGATGGAAACAACCAAATCACTTCAAGTGGAAGCTTGTCCTAGGTGGAGTCTTGAGACAGTATTTTTACCGATCTGATTTACAGCGTAGCTCCTAGTAACTCTTCAAGACAGATCTGAAGACGAGACAAATTCTTATGCCTTTATCTCACAGTTAACAGGAAAGCAGCTGACAAAACTACCAACAGATGAAGTGAAAGTCTCTGTTTCTTCAGAGCTGCAGATAATGGCTCTTGTAACCTGCCACCAGCTTCTAGGTACGCTGACGGAAGTCACCATTACTAGTGATGCACAGATGCTCTGAATATTTACTTCAGTTAGCCCTGCCCGTATCTCCAGCAGAAATATCCTCTAAAGAGAGACTTGCAGGGGAAAAAAAAAATTAAGGGAGAATTCCAGATCTAAAAAATTATCAATAACTACCTGCCAAAAGGACAGGGGAAGTCTCAAGCCTCTAAGAATGGAAAGAAGGAACTGATCTAGAAAGAAAAATGTGATTTCAGAGTCAAGAAAACTAAAAAACTAAAAGAATAAAGGATAAAGTGAGAACTCTTTAACAGTCTGAACAAAACAAAACACGAGAACATTGTGCAGTAGGAATGGAAAAAACATATCTGAGTGCAGACCCAAGACAGTAATAAAAACTTAGGGATGATGATAATTTAAAGAAAAACATTTGCATGGCATTATGGATAACAGGAATGTGGAAACAAAAACAAGCAACAACAAAAAAGGCAAAAAGCCTGAACTCAAACCAGTGTCTATCCCAGGATCATAGGAAATCATGCTTTTTACTTTTACCAGGATCAATAGTTTCATCAAGGCAGTGATACCATGAAGATAAGCAACTTTAATTTGCCACGATCACTTCCAAAGCATTTGTTAAGCCAGAAAATAAAGAAAATGCTGACAAATTTGGGTTGCGTAACAAGCACCCTCCAGAAATAATGCAATACTGAATTTTTGTAACCAAAGGACTACGTAAAAACAGATGATGGGTGATCTTAAAAGTATTATGCAGTAGGGAGATTTTAATGAAGTTCTGTAGAAGTTAAAACCCAAATTTTCCCCAGTATCATGGCTTATGTCCAAGCCTCCTGATATGCATGATAATTGATCAGTTATCTGGTCTGATAACTGGATCAAGGTATCATATTTAAAAAATGAGATGGTTCTGAAGACTGTAATAGAAATCAGATTTATTTTTTTAAAATTACAAATCTAGGTCCACATCTTGGCTGCAAACCTGAATGGAAAAGACTGATCAAGAGAATGATGCACACTGAAATCTGAGCCAGGCATGTGAGGCAGCCATAAAAGAAGTCAGTGCCTGTATCACCATGCATCAGGCAAGCTATTTTTCAGAGATATGGGACAAAGCAGAGATACTCGTGTAGACAGTACTTGTTCAGTGTATCCATCCCATGCCAGCACTGACTACCCTAGTTTTCTTAAGATTCATTTCAACTTAACAGGTACATAAATAGGATTAACTGCATAAGAAAAGTTCTACATTTCCCAGAGAAGATGAAGACTCCTTACTTGCCCCAAAAGGCAAAGGCTTATCAATGCTTATCACTCCTTAAGAGAGCACGAGTGATCAGTTTATGTGGGTCTGTTTGAGAAGTGTTGCCACAAAAGGAAAGGGCATGAACACACCTTGAAGTAGTTTGTCTTGTAATCATTATAGCAGTAAAATTCCAAAATGCTTTTCGATACAAGCAATTAGGACAAAAAGTTGCTCTGTGACTGAGCCTGACAGAGAAGGAACTTACATAAAGCCTCCTGTAGGCAGATGTACATATCTGCTCCCTACAGATCAGTTCTCTACCATCAGCCACTATATCACTGATTTTTCCCAGAGCACACAGTAATCTGGTTCAGATTACTCTGGTAGAGGTGTAATGCTTGGAAGTTATCAGATACTATTTAAACTAGGATTTTGGCCACGTGCCCAGCCGGCCTACTGCAGCATGGGTTTACACCCATAAATACTCACAAACAGAAGGAATGTTCCCTAATATCTGAACAAAACCCATGGGAACACAGTGCACTGTCTTCTAGTCGTGGATGCTGACACCCCTACAGAGAAAACCTGAAGCAGGTCCATCCATTTCAAAAGATGTTGCTATTAGAGCTGCGGATCCAGTTTGTACCTGCCTAAATATGATTAGGCAGGACTTAAAGAAATAATTATTGGAAATACTAGCTCACCAAGTACATTTTCTGCAACAGGATACCTACTGTTCATACTAAAAGTGCCGTTTGTGAGATAGGCTTCCAAAGTAACATTGCTAAAAGTAATGTTCACGTTCTTCATATTGACTTGCTTGGAGTTGATGCATCTGTATTTCGTGCCCATATATGCCTGAATAATAGTTTTATGTGATACTCTCTTCACTTCTCCTGTAAAAAGATTACACTGCATTAGTACATAGCAGTATTTACAGAAACAAATCACTATTACATCTGGAGGGGTTAACGCAATGAGAACAGAAAGTTTTCAGCTTACCTGCAGTTGAATTATGAAATAAAGTTGCATCTGACAGATTGTAGTGGAAAACTAGCTCTTCTACTTGGTACTTGTCTGCGAGTTCTGAGAAATTCAGGCTTAATGAATGTCCTGCTCCAAAACCCAATACCAGAACGGGATGAGAGGCGTTACCTTTACCACATGAACTCTGTGGCTCTACTGTAGCATTTTGTGGAAGAAAAAAGTGTGCAAACTGTGAGGTAGAAAACAAAACACATGAAAAAGGATGATGTAATAGCTTTGCATTACTGCTTTTTAATATCCTAGCAAGCTGTTATAAAACATACAACTGGCATTCATACATGCTAGAAGATGTCTACTTGTATACCTGTATATAGCAAGTAGCATGTTACTAGCACTCTGATTTCTAAGAATATTGTTCTCTGAAATTTGAGGACAAAATGGTATGTACTCACAGCACCTCTTAGACTTTCCCCCCCTAAGCTAGCACTGTGAATTTGCAGGTACTTCTGTATTAGGCGACTCAAATCTCGCAAACTCTGGACTTGTGAAAACAGGGAGAATTTAAGCTTTGCTTCTTACAGTACAGTTGAGCAACAACAACAGCAAACGGTACAGCCTACATAGCTTGGCTATGATACTTTGACTTTATTACATATTAAGTAGTAATGTGGTACCTGAAGACCAATACAGCGTTTACTGGAAAGTTTTGAGTTTACTGTTTACAAGAAGAAACAACCAAAAGCATGTTATCAAAGCATTCACCTCTGAATACAAACTTGTATACCAGTATCAGCAGGATTTCAGACCAGATTTTTTTAATCGCACATTATACTGCTGGCTAGAAAAAAACAGCTTCAGTAAAAGTGCCTCAAAACATGCACCTGCAAAGAAACTATAAATAATCTACAATTCCTGTTCAATAGTGAAGATGCCAAAAAAGTAAACTGAAAAGCAAAGTATTCGTAAATAAAAATTCCTCACTTCCCATTAACAGGCTTTTGCTGTTAATATGGAACCACTGGTAAGCACTGCACTACCCTGTAGATAGCAAATATCTCGATTTCAGTGTGATAAGATCACAGATTTCAGGGAAGTTTAAAAGTTACACTTAGTTCAGACTCAGTCCACGTAACAGTGTCGAATTTCAGTCACAGAAGTAATTTCACACATGTATTGTTCGTGATGGTTTCAGGCAGCCTTAACCCTGTCATTTAATTAGAAGCAGCATCAGTAATAAAGAGAAGTTAATGCAGCACAATTGGGAGGGGGAAATCTTTCCTGAAGCAGTTTTTCATGCTTAAATATTTGTTCAAAGTTTAAACACTGTGCACATGCAGAAATACCACACATTTTAGAAACACAAGTTAGAGACTAGCAGTGAGATGCCCCCCTTACCTCTTTTTGACCACTGCTTTTGTATTCCACTGAGAAGGCTACAGTCAGATCAGCGATTATGCAGGCCTTACCACTTGCATCTTTCACCTCAAATGAAGAGGAAGCCTGTAAAAAGCCTGTTAAGAATGACAAGCAGTTAACATGATGTCACATAAACTTTAATTTTTGATCCCCAGAGACAAATACGTACAACTGCACATTTTGGGAGTACATCCTAAATGGCAGTTGACTTTGGAAACTTGGGCATTAACAGTCTCTATACTAGCTTCAACATCACTAACACACGGAGGACAAATCTAACACCCCATTTATAAAAAGAAAAAGCCACCCAAACCAAAACTGGGTCCTCAGAGGGTAAGAAAAAACTTGCAACCAACACCAGTTACACTGTTCGAGGCAGCTACTCAGTGCTCACCCTACACAGCAAGCATTTTGCAAGCTTCAGCCAGAATTGACTTAACATATTTGATCCTACACGCCTATAGCATTCCCTCAGCCTTCCCCCCGCAGCCTTCATTCCCGCTGTACCAGGACACTCAGCTGTACATGCCCTGAATGCAGCATTTAGAAAGCTTGGACTGACTGCAGATGTTTTGGAGAGACTGCCAAAAATAGCGTGCTGGAGCATGCCACCCTTGCCAGGAGAACTTCTCTTTGCTGTCATCGTGCTCTCTGTATTCGAGAGGAGGATGGGGGCCAGGACCTGGACACAGACCGAGGTCGCGTCTTCCCGAGTGGTTTCAGCTAACCTCAGGCTGAGCTCCTGACAGAAGCACAGCTTTTCCCCAACTCGCTCCCCTCCAGCCCCAGCGCTCGGAGCATTAGTACGGCCGAGCACGCTACTACTGGCTTAACAAGGTAAGAACATGCAGCAAGAGGAGCGCAGGATCATCCTTTGACAGCAGCACAGGCTTAGATCAGTGTCCACTGCCACTGAAGTGTCACCTAGGGGGTGTGTTGTGGCAGGCTGGGTCCAGCAGGAAAGCCGGTTATCTCATGCTTCACGTGCAGCAAAGGGCTAACCGGACAGTGCTCCTCTATCTGAAATCATACCAAGGTGCTCAGAGTCCTTTATTGCAGAGCATTTCATTTTTCTGCTTCTCAGTTTGTCACCACACACGCACCCCCCAAAGCAAACCCCGCTGCAAAAAGCCTGCACCATTTTCATGTTAGCACTTTAGCAGCTTGCATTTGCAGCAACTTCAGTCTTGCAGAAATCCTGATAAAAAAAAAAGCAGCTGCAAGACATAAAGCACTATCTCAAGCAATTAATCTTTGAAGAGTCAAACGTGCTAATCCATTCAACTGCTGATATTGCAAAAAGATCCATCTGAGGGATTATCCATCGGCTAGCTTCCCTCCCCAAGAAGTTTTCAAAAAGCAAATCCCAACTTTAAAACTTTTCACTGCAAAACTACGGTGTGTACAATTGTATTAAGACAATTCGTAGGAAAAACTGGACTTTGCCAGGTGGGTTTTGGTAGAAGGCCCTTCAGTTTTAGGAACACATTGGAAACAATTCCTCTGGCACTCAGCCTTTTCCCTTGGCGCCTTTCCCTCAGCAACAATACATCCTCCCCCAGCACCACAGGGGGCCAAAACTTAAGTTGGAATTAATACAGTTTATCCAGTTGTTTAAAGAGTCTAGACTTGAAACCAGAGATAGAAAGAACAAAGAATTAGCTTAAGAATGGATAGTGTAGAAAAATGAAGCAAAACTGTCCTACCTTTGCCTTTATGTCCACCTCAGTGTTCATTAAGGAACATATATTCACAAAGAAAATGTCATTTATTGCAGTTCAGGGCAGTACTGGAAACAGTCAGTGCTCCTCCACGTGGAAGTTTTAATTTGCAAAGTTTCCTTCAATTTGAATTTACATCTGGAACTTGTTTACATTTTACCCAAGCACTACTTTTCTCAAGAACAAAACGCTTACGTTCTTTCTGAAGATTTCTAGCACAGCGTAGAGGAAGGGAATAAGACTCATGGCTACTTGAACTAACACTATCAATGGGAAACGTGCTAGAATGAAAACCTTCAGTGTGCATGCTGACACCCTTGTTTGATAGCGATTAAAAATCTTGGCAATTTCAGAGCTAAAAATAAAAAAAAATAGTAAAAGAATTAAAGGAGGAAAAGATGGGTTTTAAAAATAAAATCAGGTTAAAGACTGAAAAACAATTAAGAAAAACGTTGCTAACCTAAAAGAAAATGTGGCAGACCTGCCTATCATAAATGATTCAGAGAACAACAAAAGACAACACAGAAGTATCAGAAAGCACCAAATGGAAGACAGATTCTAGAAATCAAGAGGTGACAAAACACCCTCAGCAAATTTAAGTAATAGAGCATAAGGGGTGTGAACGAAGAGTAGAAAATACCACCTGCATAACTACTAGATTTTTGCAAGGTTAAGCTCACGCCATGGTATAAAACCCAATTTTGTTCGGGCGCAACAAACGCTATAAAACCCCATTCCTTCTTCAGAAATGTTCAGCAGCTGTTGGATTTGCAGTGTCAGAGATGAGACAGACACGTCCAGCACGAGACACTGAGCTGTCCTCGATGAAGTGGCAAGAGAGCTGTTCCACCCCGAGCGAGCCGACGCGCGCCAGGATGGCCATCAGAGAGAGCACTGCGTCACAGCATCGTCTGCTCCCACCGTCTTGGAGGAATGAAGGTGAAACCAAGTGAAACAAAACATAAGGGGCAGTGGGCAAAGAAAAATTAGCAAAAAACCCACTTAGGAACAAATCAAGACACTGAAGGAAAAAGGTTCTGCCTACTCTTCACTCCAGCCAGTTTAAGGCAGAAGAACAGCTCGCTGGGTTTTGCAGGAAAGCAGCTGTTGAGCTTGGGAAGGCAGTTTCAGTGTCGACTGGTGATTAATGCATGAATCATCACCAGCCCACAAACAGTAAGAGCCTACAGTCAAAATGTCAAGAATACAGAAAAGCAAACTGATGTTGAATCAATCTGTCCTGGGAATATTTCTAAATAAGTTACATAAAGTATTGCTCAATATTATCATTGCATACCTACAAGTTGATAATATTGCTTGTACTTCTCATGACAGTATCGTTCTCTGCTTTTTTACACAAAAATTGATACAACCTCCGGTTTTTTACCTTTAAATGCTCTTAATAAACTGCAGCGCCCTATTTGACAACTATCTGTGCTAGAGCAAGTGCAGTACTTCAGATTTACACAGCTGAAGAGCTCCTAGACTTTTCAACAGCAAAAAGTAAGTTTTGTGAAGGTTATTATTCACTTGGCTGGAAATACTACATTATGGGTATCTAGTAGAAGAATCGTCAAAAATGTGCTAGCATCAAAGAAATTTCACTTACTTCGCATGCTTTCTTTGTATTCCAACAGGTTCCCAAAAAGGGCTGCTTACATATTTATTGTAGCTGCATGTTTTCAATTGAAAATCATAAATCTCTCCCCTTAGGCCTCATGTATGAAATTATAGTTTCCTGCACGAAAAGATTGAAGCTAAAACTGTTGAAGCAACAGCTAGATATGTCACTCAAAATCCAGCATCCTTCCTTATCTAACATACCTACATCAAAAAAACCCCAAGTGAAGCGTATTAACACTGAGATACAATACACAAGTCAAACAGAACTAAGACTTTCTTGGTTACATAACAATTCATCTTGAAGAAATATACCTCAAAAGTTCATTTTGTTTTAAACTGGAAACTACAAAGCTAGCAAAACAATATAGCACAGTTGAACAATCTAAATCTGAGCCCTTTTGAATATGGCTCTTAGAATGGCTGGATTCCCCATCTCCTGACCACACAAAGATGCTTTCAGGTTTCAACCTTTTTATAACTGAAATCCTGTTAGCCAAGCACAGCTATCATTGGGTTACTCTCCCATATAATGGAAACCTATTAAGGCAGAAAGATGAATGATGATTATGCTCTAAAAAAAGCAAGCATATATTAATGGCAATTGATTACACCGTCTGCTTGCAAAGAGGACTTTAGTTACTATAGTTAATCATTTACTTTGTCTCCAAGCTTTATTAGAAACACAGAACATTGACAATAAGGATCTTAAAACACAAAAGCTACTTCTATATAATTTGAGGTTTGTTACTATAGTCATGTTTCCTGCGTGAGTAAAAACTTCTTTAGTATTTTTCTTCCTCCCCCTTGAAAGAAAGGGCAGCAAGCCATCCAAATCCACCTGGGCCCGTTATTCCACATCATCAGTAGTTTAAGCGATACAGGTACCCAGTGGGTAAGACTTGGCAGCTACACCGACTGCGACATTAGGAAGCAAAACCATGGCTGCAAAGCAGCCCAGCTAATCACTCCCCACAAGTGCCCCGACAGCGGGTCGGAGCATCCCACCCACAGCCTGGTCACCCACGTCAGAGACCCTGGAACTGCTGCGCAGCAGCACCCGGAGGGGCAGGGCTGCTGCTTGCTGGCTGATGCCAGCACTACACAACCGCTCTGTACCTACGCTCCAGCACTGCTGTGCTGCCCCGCACCTTTGCTCAGATGTTCTCAGGGAGCACACAGCAAACGCTGCTGCTATCTACGGGGCATTAATCCCAGGAGATAAGAAACACTAGTTCTTATCTAAAGGTTTATTTTCTGTTGCCCATGTGAACAGAAGTGCCCGGTAATTTACTCATTCTGATTGTTCGGAAGGATCCTGTCATCTCAGTGTCATTTTGTGAATTAAGTGGTGACCTTAGTCACCACTTCAGACTCCTAAATCTATGCCAGAGAAGAGGATGGAAAAAATCCCTGAGGAGTTAGGCTCTCCTCTAATCACTTGTCTTTCAGTGTAAGCACCACTCCCAGAGGGACCTGGTACAAGTCCCTTCTCAGCAGAGCAAGTCAAGATCACTTGCTTAGGAATCATGATCTATACTACCTTGGGATAGTACAGAAAAAACAAGAACTTAAAAAAATAAAGTATTTTTTGAAAGATCACACTATTTACTAACCCTAATATTTCAGGGAAATGACTGAAAGCAGGAAAATCCCCTGGCAGACTTGATGGAAGAACCACTCTGCATGAGACAAGATGGTCTTCATAAAATTATGAATTATACTTACCTGTCACCAACAGATTCAGAAGACTGAACACTGGCTATCTGGAAAGCACAGTAGGAAAAGACAAAGCTGGACACACTTGATCACACACAGTAGTGGAAAGGGGGAAGAGAGCTTAATTCAAGGACAGATGGGAGTACTTTAGGGGAGAAGAGAAGCAGCTGCACTTGTGCAGGTGCAGTACCTGATTAGATTAAGTTCCTGATCCAGCCCTAGAAGATGCATCCTTGCCAACTAACAGACAAATTCATGCAGTCTCACATTATGTTTTTTGATATTGTTGATTTCTGTTAAGGCAGTAAACATTTTGTTTCTCAATTCAAGTTTGCACATGAACCGCCTCTCTCTTTATAAAGAAACTTAGGAAAGTACAAAAGCATTATATGGGAAAGGCTATTTAGCAGCCACACACTTGCCATTCGGCCAGAGAATTACACAACTGCACCAAGCACAGCAGTCACATGAAACTTCTTTATGCTTTCCTATCTAGAGGAAGGAAGTCTTGGGATAGCTCTACAGCAGCTGATTACACGAGTCCACCAGGAGGTCTGAACTCCTGTGGCTAGACCCTTTTCAGCATTCACACAGGCCCACTTTGCACTTGCCCCGGTTAACGCTGCTGTATCGCACCACACAACTAACACATCCTTCAAGGTAGCTGGCAGCCCCAAACGTTTTGGAGGAAGGAGCACTGTGCTGACAATTTAAAGACTCCCCAGAGGAGAGGGTATTGGAAAAAAGAGAATAAACCAACTGCCTGAGTAAAACCACTCTCCTAGTCCTATCAAGAAGACAGTAGACTTCACCCCTGTCAAGGAAAGTAAAGACATACTAGCAGTCCCATATTACACAGACTGAATTCTACCTTGTTAAGAAACCAGAAGCCACTGAAGTTTAATACAAGAAAATTAAATTTATAAAGCGTGGACTACTGTGCTCAAGCCTGAACACTGGAGAGGGAACAGCTAGACAAGCACCCACTGTACAGAGCTGAACCACATTTGAAACTCTGTACTCTATTAGCAGGGTGCTACTAGCACTCTCACACTTTGAATTACAGTAGAAAAAGTAGTACTGACAACCAGTGGTGCTGTCAAGCGACAGAAGAAGGTTAAGAAACTGCTACCCTTAGATTGAAAGAGACACCAGTCCATCTTGAAGTCAAGTGCATAAAAAACATGGAAGCCTGATTTACCAAAATATAAGGTACGTTTTAAAATACATAATTTGGAATTAAGATAATGCAATGAAATATTCAGATAGCTGTTGTAACTACAGCCACTCACATACCCAGTAGGGTCTCCTGCCAAATTTAAGAGAATAAATACTAAGAAATCCATTGTGGCACCAAGCTTTCTCAAAGAATTTCCAAATAATCATGTCTGACTTGAAAGAAAAGACCAACTGTTGCAGTAAAACTGCAACAAGCAAAGGTGAGGCGTGCCTTCTAGTGATAGAAATAAGTTATCTTTAAGACATAGAAAGGCTTAACAGAGATAACAGTAGTCAACTTCTCAATAAAATATCCATCTTTTCTTTGATTAAGGCTCCTCTGTACCTAGAGGCAATTCTTCAGTTTATTGTCTGCTACTGATTAGAAAAAAATTCCTATTCACTACAGAACAATCTAGAAGCAGGCTACACCACAAATGAAACTTCCCAGTCGTCCTGAACAGGAACCTAACCTAGGGAGCATCTCTCAAAAGTAGCATGTCAGGAGGCCTGCAGAATTCTTACTCAGCAAGTAAGAAGCTACTGTACAAGTCAGAAAAGCTGGAGGAGTCAAAGCTGAGTAACCTATCACATGGTAACAGGTTTGGGACTAGCACACAAATGGAGAACCTTAGAGACTGTGTCAACACACTAAAGAAGCAATCAAGCAAACACTGTGTTAAGGGCAGCATTTGGTAAAAGAATGTTTCAAAAGTCACACAACATAAAACCAGTTATATTTTGTGACAACTAATTTGTACTCCGTCTCAGTTCCACACAGCTAGCAATGTCAAAACTGAGGAATAACAACACAACACCAAATTACTCATTGGCTGGAATTTATTATCCAAGTTTCTCTCAACTATTCCTACGTTGGTAGCAAGGTTTGAATTCCCCTTTGGACTAGCTGTGCAACAGAAATACATGCATTATGCATCAATAACCCTGAAATGGCATCACACTACCTTGTCAAACTCATTTGTACTTCCCGAAGTCTCAGACACTTTATTATTTACTCATTAATACTGAACCCATGCCTGACTCCAAGCTTCGGTTTTCAGAAATGTTTTCTTTGATGTGTTTGTGTTTCAGTAAGGAAAAAAAAATAAAGGAGCTCCAGGACTCAAAGAGCACAAGTAGCTCTGTCAGGCTGGGCACACAACCTAGCTGACCCATCACGCTCGACAACAGAGAAGCACCATCTTCCTGCATATTTCCAAAAGCAGCAACTAAGTTTGAGGGGAGGTACTTCATTTCCCATAGCCCCCTTTCCCTGTATTTATCACTGCACTACATAAATCTTTTTTTCATTCCATATGCACATTTGATATTCATGAGGAAATTCATCATGAAACAAATGCTGACCTGAAATATTCAGCTTTGTGCCTGCTGGTCAATGTGAATGGAAAACTGAAACAGTAAGTGAGGTGCAGTGAGGTATTTTGGAGGAAAATAAATCTTCTATTGTCCTGAAGTCAAGGCACTGCCAAACAAGCTTTCACATCTGACCCACCCATACTAATCCCTCAGCCTCCATATCCTCATCAGTGTTCACACTGATGACCAAAAGGCTGCAAACGAGCATCTAAAGAATCCAGCTCCTATCTTCTCATTATCTCATACTTTTCTCTCCTCACTACCCTGCAAGCAGGGGTCTCTATTTGCACCACAAAGTCTTTCCCTGAAATTGTCGGATGAAGTTATGTAGAAACACCCAGCTACTAGACACTGGTACAAAGCCCCAATTGTCACTAAACATTTACTCTAGTAAAATAAACTAATATGTTCTCTCAGCTGCAGAGACCTAACACATTTTACATGCCAGAATGCAACAAAGCTAAAGCACTGAATTATGTTTGTAACTGCTAATTAAGCAGAGGAAGATGATTACAGTCACAGAAAAGAGTATTTGTGGTACCACTTAAAAACTACACGGGCTGATTAGAAGGCAAACAGCAGCAATTCTTCATTTATACCATAACTATATTAAGCAAGCTATACAAAGAATTCCCACTATAACATCAGTTCAATGACGCTTGTCAGTCCTAAAAAGCAAGTCTGACAGCACTGTAAGTCACTGTGCTCGCTACAGTGGCTTGCAAGATATTTGAACTGCTCAGTGCCCCTTGTGAGTGACATCTTTCAGGTTCAGTGAAACTGAATAATGATATTTAATACCAAAGAAAAGTTGAAAGAGTTTCAAAGGCTGTCATAATCTCCAAAATGATGGCAGATAACCGTTCTCAACCGCTGTTTTATTCAGGAAATATTTGTGCTAGCTGCTGAAGAAGTTTCTTTTGCTGCCAAAGCCACATTTCAGAAACTCGATATCGTGTCGCGTGATGTGGCTTTCAAGGCAAGAAACCTAAAGCAAGGTAGTTACCGGTAAACAAGCAAGACACTCTTCCTCATAAAACAGTCTTGCAGCATTAACAAGCCCTCTCATGGAGGCACTGAAATCTATTCCACTGGCATTTCAGATTTCACTCAAGACGCACCAGGATGAAAGCCAGTAACGAAGAGGGCATCACATGCCCTATAGGAAAGGGCTACTTACAGAATCGTAAAATGGTGTGGGCTAGAAGGGGCCTTAAAGATCATCTAGTTGCGACCCTCAACCTCCCACTTCCCAGCAATGACATCAGTAGTTCCTGCGCTTCCACGCCTCGTGGGAGGCAAAGGTGTATTTTCCGGTTCTTCCCGGAGCGCTGTCGCTACACCCCGTGCGGGTGCTCGGAGGAGCGTTCCCGGGCGCCGCACGGTTCTCCCCGCCGAGCACGGCCGCCCCCTCCCCTCCACCCTTCCCATCGTACCTCAGGCAGCTCTCCGGGGCTCCCGGGCGCCGCCGGGGCCCGCTGTAGGGAGCGGAAGGGATGACCTCCCCAAAGGACCCGCCAGCCCCGGCCCCCGGGAGGCCCGGGACCCCCCGGCACGGCAACGGCAGGTGGGAGCCGGCGGGCGGGTTTCCCGTTACAGCGGGCGCCGCGCCCAGCGCCGCCGGGACCCGGAGCCGGCCCAGGCCGCGGCTACCCCCCCCCCCCCCCCCCCCCCCGCCCCACCGGGCACCAACAGGCCGCGGCCGCCCCGCCTCCCCCCTCCTTACCGAGCAGGGCGGCCGCCGCGAGCAGCCCCCGCGCGCCCTGGGCGCGAGCCATGGCGGGGGCAGGGGACAGGGCGAGGCGACACCGGCGGGAGCGCGGAGAAGGGGGCGAGGAGGGCGGCGGTAGGGGTGGGGGGGGGAGGGGGCCGGGGGGGCGGCGGCGGCGACAGCGCACCGCGCTCGGGAGAGTGGCGATGGCCCCGGCCGGTCATATGACCGCTGACGTCACCCGGCCCGCCCGGGCTCCGTCACGTGACCCGCGCGTTTAGCGCAGCGGGCGCCCCGGAGGAGGCGGGGAGGGTCTCGCGAAAGGAGGGGAGGGGGCGGGGCTCGGCTCCCCGGCGCTCCAACGGCCGCTCCCTGAGGCGCGGGTGAGGGCGGGGGGGGCTGGAGCACCTCCCTGTGAGGGCAGGGTGGGGGGTTTGGGGGTGTCCAGCCGGGAGAAGAGAAGGCTTCGGGGAGACCTTAGAGCGGCCTGTCAGTGCTTACAGGGGGGACAGGAAAGGTGGGGAGGGACTCTTTGTCAGGGAGTGTGGGGATAGGATGAGGGGTAACGGTTTTAAACTGAAAGAGGGGAGATATACCTTAGAGCTAAGGAAAAAATTCTTCCCTGTGCGGGGGGTGAGGCGCTGGCCCAGGGTGCCCAGAGCAGCTGTGGCTGCCCCCTCCCTGGAAGGGTTCAAGGCCAGGTTGGACGGGGCTGGGAGCCCCCTGGGCTGGGGGAAGGGGGCCCTGCCCGGGGCAGGGGGGGTGGAACTACATGGTCTTTAAGGTCCCTTCGAACCCAGACCTTTCAATGAAACATGCACACAGGCATGTGTATGTGTGCACAGACAGATACGTGTGCGAGAACATACTTGTGTGTGGGTAGGTGGTTCTCACACGTGCAAACGCCCCGGGAGCGGGCCTGTTCCGCAGTACACGCACAGGTGTGTGTGTGTCTCACGTTGGGTCCCTCGTGCATGCAGCCTGGGCAAGGCTGTGGGCTGGGGGGTGCGTGCATCCACCCCGCGGGGGCAGGTGCTGCGTGTCCTGTGTGTGATTTTGTGCTGGGGTACGCATGTTGCAGTGCACCATCGTCGCAAGCTGCTGCGGATCAGCCCCAGGCCCCTCTTGCCACCAGCCCTAACCCAGGGGCTCAAGGCTTTTCAGGCCCGGTTCTGCCATGGGCTGAAGACAGCCGTGGCTTGGCCCTGGGGTACGGCCACCTTGGCATGGGAAACTTCTCCAGCCCTCACCCGTGGCACGAACGTTTGGCAGTGGGCATTCAGAGGTTTGGGGCCTTTTTGCGAACTGTCATATATGTCTTAGCCCTGTAACTCAGGTCAGATGAGAGCTGTGAGGAGCATCAGGGCCTGGGGCAGCCTTACCAGCTCTAGGCATTTAAGTGTGGTTCCCGGTGGGGAATGCAGCACGGGCGCCCATTTTTTAAAGGGGAGGTGATAGAGGAGGGCGAGAAATGGCTTTGGTGAGCAATTAACCCAAGTTGTCTGATAATCTCCAGAATATGTTTCTTACCACTGAGTTTGAAGGCAGTCTGAGGTGAGTACAACCATCCTGCATAGAACTAATTCAGTCCCAGCTGTGGAAGTTAATGGTCTATTATCTCTGAAATGATGCATCTATGTATACCTGTGTATACACATAATCCCCATATGTGTTTCAAGCCAAACCAGGGACTGCTAATGACTTGAGGTTGTATAGGTAAAATTAGTTGCACTTTCACATAGTTGCCGATGATGTCTGATGTTTTTAGAAACAAGAATTTTAAGAATTCACTTTTTTTTTTTTTTGAGAAAACTAGAAAAAAATAGATGAAGTTAGTCTATCAACATTCTCAGATCTTAGCATAGTAATGGATATAGGGAGCCCAGGCCATTTGATCATGTTGTAATTCAATGCTCTTTCTTATCTAAGCTGTTAAGGATATGCTTTCTTCATCTGAAACTTCAGAAGTACTTGCTTTGCTACTGAAATCCTATTTCTAGTACAATTGGAAAGTGTGCCAATAGCAGGGTGCTTCTGCTTTCTCAAAATGACTGCCCTGTCATCCCTCTCCTCATTACAGTGTACTCCAGATTAATCAGCTCTGAGACAGAGTCATTTATGCTCCCAAGCTGCCTTCATACATTTTTACTTAGAACCAATTTGAAATGCAATTTAGCTACTACCAGCTGCTAAAGTCAGGTCCAGCTACTGTAAACTTTACTTTTTCCTGATGTTTGTCTCAGTTCACTTACACTTCCCGTTTCCCCAAAACATCCTAGAGAAGTTCATTTGCTCTTCAGCGTGGCTTGGGGATCTGCCATTCTTTTCCAATGCTGGTGCTATCAACAGACATTTCTTAATGCTACATTTTTGTCTGTGCATTTTTAGAGGCAGTAACCTCTTAGTTTATTTGGTTTTCCCTGCAGAACTTCTAGCAATCTTTATTCTTGCCGTGTATTGCCAAAAGCAGAAGTTAGTCAGCTTGAAAAAGGACATAAGGAACAGCTCTGGTCAAGTGTTTGAATGAGTCATCTGCAGAAGAGTTGAGGTTAACGGCGGTGGGACATGGGTTGTTCTCATTTTTTGATCACTGTTTTTGGAACCTGCAGTGGGAGTGGAAGGTCTGCGGAGTACTTGAAGTCTGCCAGAAAACAAAATAGGGAGGCCTCATGTCAGGTTTAAACTTGCTGTGCAGTAGTCTGCCCCTCTACAGGAAAACTGGTAGGCACCTATGAATTGAAAAATGATGGATGCTTGGCTTACTACCAATTAGTATCAACATGTAAATTGCATCAAGCAACAATATTGTGACAAGGAATTGGTAAAGAAAGAACATAAGGTTGTCAGCAGAGAACGATGTTGACCTTACACGGTGTGGATCATTAGCTTACTAAGCCTTTTTAGTGGCGTAGAGGCTGCACAATAACCAATTTCTGTGCCACTGGCAGTAGAAGCATCACCAGGGTGTCTGTTAGCCTGTTTTCCCAATGGAACAGGTCTTACGCAACCACGTTGGCCATCAGCCTCGCTGCTCAATAGCTTGTTGGCTGACATCAAGCAAAGCTGATAGCAGGGGAAGGCAAACAAACATGAAGTTACAGCTTCTGTAAAAGCTGGTCTGTAGACAGTCTGGAGATACAAATTCATGCTGTCACCGAGGGAAATGCAGCCCATACCCAGCCCCTACGCGTTTTGTTTGACAGAGCTGCCGGCCAGCCAAAGCACACACAGTTGGAGGTTAACCATGGCACAGCTCCTGGCCCCCCAGAGCCATGGATGCAGAACGGCTGCTTATGGGGATGGACATGGGAAATACCCAGAAGATCTAGGAGCCGTTACTACAAGACAAACTGTTCTGCAAAGTCAAGGCAGAATACCAGCATGGAAGACACAGTACAGGTTGGGAATTTTTACCAGAAAAAAATTTCCACAAAACACGGTTCCATTTTTCCCGTAGCCTTTTGCTGTGTATTATCTGACTACAGGGTTATTTTCTTTCTGAAGACTTGCTAGGAAGAGATAACCAAGGTCATAGTAGAGAGTCCACTCTCCCTAACACACCTGCCAACGATTGTGAACTTACAAATAGGTCTGTTTGCGTAACAAATCACTGCACTACAGTTGCCTGAAAAGGGTGTAACTTTCGTTTTCAAAGATGCCTAGCACAAAGGAAGAATGAAGCTGCAGCAGCAGTCCAAGGGAGTTAAATGATAACCCCCGGGTTCAGATAAAGGAATACAGGGGAAGCTAAAGTACAGAAGGAAGAAAACAGGACAGAAGGAGCAGGCAGGAAGGAGGCACTTGGTGGCTGGTAAGGAGAGCTGTAATTGCCAGACTTTGGAAGCCCCTGCAAGTCAGCTGTGAGCCTGCATGCTCACGCTTGCTTTCCCTCTGGAAATGTGGGGCTAGATGACAGGGCATCACATTAGGAAAATTGCTTTCTGAATACCTGTAACCTATGTCTGGTCTGGATGAGTTATCTGAACGTTTAAGTTAATCTGAGTTAAACTGGAAAGTTTCAAGCTAAAGTGGAAGATTTGGCAATGTTGGAGAGCCCCTACCTGTGTCCCAGATTCCCGCTGTAGTTTTTGTCATTCCATAGAAGCTGCTACACAGTTTGTTCCAAGGACACTGAATTGCCAGGATCCAGGTTTTCAAGACACCTTCTCAACACAGATGTGCTACAGAGGAGATCTGTTACTTTGCTACAGCCTGCTGTCTTCAACAGTGGGTGATCTTCTGGGAAGAAACCTTGTTTAGCAACCTCACACTGTGGGGGGGGTGATATGAACCCCAATAGCCAGCATCAAACCAACAGCTGGTTGAGACTGGATGCTCAGACAAATTCTATGGCCAGCTATCAAAGATTAATCAAATGCAGCTGTTTTGCTATGAAGAAGTGACTACCATGCTGACTAATAAACTCCCTGCTTACCTGCTTGGTTCAGCACATACAAAATCCCAGGAAGAGAAATTTGAGGAAATCCAATTAAAAATGACGACCCGAGAAGGAGAGTCACGGTCACCTGGCCTCCCAATCTCTCACATAACTTTTGGACTTCTGAAGCCACTTTCAGGCAAATTTGGAAGAGTGAAAATCTTTAGAAATCATGACATTCTCTGTAGGTTTGGGGGATGGGTAGAGATCAGCAGTTGGATAAAGGAGAACAAAACCAATGCTCCCACAAGCAGAAAGGCAGAACAGCCCTCTGCAGTACTGCTGCTTGAGGTTATTTGGGGGGAGATGACACAGAAGGGGACCAAGGGCATACATCACAGAAAGACAGGCTTCATTATTGCCACTGCTCGTGGAACAACTCATTTTTAATTGCTATACCAGATTAATTTGGCCAAAGAGTTGTAGTCTATGGCAATTAAGAAAAACTGCACATCTCAGCACTTTTAATCAATTAACATTTCTTCGTCAGGCAGAACCATTTCAGTCATCTTCAGGATAACACCACTGCTTTTAATCTATTGTTTAAAACCGCTGAACCAGGAAGCTGGGGTTCAGCAAGGGAAGGCAGTACACATTCACTGCCTGGGATCGGTTACTGCATATTGCTGCCAACTTTCTGTGCGGATAAAGCCCCCCGCCATTACATTTCTGTGAGGCACACACTCCTTTTTGTTTCAAAAAGTCTAGTAAGATGGATCAGATCGGCTTCCTTACGCACAGAAAATGAGTTACAAGGCGGATGGTATAATTAACACTAAAGAACAAACTGCACAAATAAACTCAA